TTTTTTATACAGGTGCTCTGTGTTGCATGACCAGTCCAGTTTGTTGTCCACCCACAGCCCGAGGTACTTGTATGTGGTGACCACCTCCACCTCCTCCCCATCTATCTGAACTGGCAGTGGACCTGCTCTGGACCTCCCGAAGTCCACAACCAGTTCCTTATGGAGGTCAAATAAACAAGAACAGCTTGTTATAATTTAGGGTCAGATTTACTAACGTCTGCAGCAAATGAAAGACTTCTGGTGTTAAAAAGCTGCTGGATTTACTGGGGAGGCTCAGAGTCAGCTTGTGACTCAAAGGTTATGGCATATGTATTTTTAAGTGTTTCACTTTCAGAAGATTTAAATGAGTCACACAAATGTGATTTACACAAAATTTCACATAGTATATTTCTCCTAAAATGGCTTTTATTCATTGGCTCACTGATTTAGGAAGGTGTTCATCAAGCAGCAGGGTTAGACACGGTTTTGCCCTACAGTCAACATTCTCTAAGGAGAAAGAGCATGTATGGATGTAGGTTATAGGCACTACTGAGATTTTTGTTTATAAGGCAGGTAACTTTGACCAGCTAAGCCACAGTGTTACGTGTTATACAGGTTGTTATTGCTGGTTTTGACTAAGTAGTGGAAACAGGAAGAAGACTTAAACTAGCAAAACAGTCACTTGGAGGACTCAAATGGAATAGTTCAGAAGGTTAAATGAACAATGCAGTGGTCTGAAAATAAAGAATGTTTGAAGACAACAACAAATCAACTCAGGTGTAAGCGCTTCTTTAGGTAAGTCTAAGGGCAGGGTACCAGGAGGTAATGTGCACAGGAATCAAAAACTCCCCTCTTCGGGTGGCTGTAGCTCAGGTAGTAGAGCAGGTCAGCTACTGATCAGAAGATTGGTGGTTCAATTCCTGGTTTCCCCTAGTCTGCATGCCAAATGTCCTTGGGCAAGATACTAACCCCAAATTGCTCTCCAATGCATCCATCGGAGTGTGAATGTCAGTTAGAAAGCACCTAGGAAAGAAATGTGCTGGTGTGAATGGGTGAATGCAGAAGTTGTATAAAGTGCGTTGAGTGCTCAGAAGAGTAGAAAAGCACAACATAAGAACCAGTCCATTTACCATTTTTCCACAGGATAACTTTTTATTAATTCTTTTATTAAAAAATGAATGGAAATGAGATTTATTAAAAATGTCGTTTCCAATAGAGACCAGGCATCATGGCAGCAAAAAACACGTGCACCAAATAATAACGTAATTAAAACAAATACAATGTTCCATACATCCCAAAAGGTTGAGTCTGTTCATCTGGATGTAACGTTTTCAGTGGCAGA